GCTGGATCAAACCTTTCCCTTGCAGGCGCCTGCGTTTTCACCCGGATTCCACAGCGTGATGTGTGCGGGGCTTCTCTAGGAGATGTCGTCGTATTATTGTAGTGATGAGTAGAAGAGTCACTCACTCTTTTCGGGGATCAGAAGATGATTAGAGAAATTCTGACCAACCGGCACATCTACTCCTGCTTCGGTGGACGATCACGGCTATCATGTTCGTCTTTATGACCGTTAGCATCATCCCAGAGAGCTCAGAGAGCCCAATACCCCTTAGTTAAGGAATATGCCTCAAATCATTATATATTTAGGGCCCCTATACTTTAAGGTAGACATTCCTTAATTAAGGGGTATTGGGCTCTCTAAGATCACAAAACCCTAAACCCTAAACCCCTAAACCCTAAACCCTAAACCCTAAACCATCATCACACAAGCATCTTCGTTGCCAGCATCTTAGATGTGAAACCTCGGCCTTCCCACAGATCATCGAGGCCAGGTTTAGGGTTTAGGGTTTAGGGTTTATAATAAGGTTTAGGGTTTAGGGTTTAAGTTTTAGGGTTTGTGGTTGAGGGTTTAGGGTTTAGGGTTTAAGGTTTAGGGTTTAGGGTTTAGGGTTTGTGGTTTAGGGTTTAGGGTTTAGGGCCCCGAAGTACGCCGAACGTCATAACCTCACCATCAAAGCCGATCCCTTAAAGCTTGAGTTCTATTCCATATGCGCCTTGAACCAAACTCGGAAACGCAGGTCTTTCACCCTAAATCCTGGACCCTAAACCCCTAAACGCTAACCCTAAATCCCTAAACCCTAAACCACGCAGCCTAAACCCGAAACCCCTAAAGCCCTAAACCCCTAAAATTCCTAAATCCTAAACCCTACACTGCCCTAAATCCCCAAATCCCTCAATCCAGGTTTTCCCGGAGATCATCTATCCTCCATGGGGTGAGTGGGTCCTCAACGTCTCCCGCAGCTCTCCGCTCGTTCTCGAGTGGGCGCAGAGTTTTGCCTCAAAGTACTTACTCCCCGGAGCCCTTTGCGAGTTCGGGAGGGGTTTAGGGGCTTAGGCTTTTGTGCGACTTTAGTGCTGTTCAGGGGTTTAGGGATTTAGGGTTTAAGGATTTAAGGGTTTAGGATTTAGGGACTTAGTAGGGTTTTAGGGATTTTAGGGCTTTAGGGTTCAGGAGTTTAGGGTTTTAGGGTTTCGGGCCATGCCATCCTGGAGCTTCTGCGCGGTGGTGAGTACATGTACAGTGGTGCATTGGCGTGAGCCTGCAAACGCGTAGGGAATAATTCGGGGTTATACCCTAAACCCTAAACCCTAAAAGGGTTTAGGGTTAAGGGTTAAGGCTTGGCTTAGGTCGGGATTCGCGCAGTTCAGAACAAATCCGAAAGCCTCAAAACCCGAAGAGCTGCAGGCGAGACATCTGAGCAGGACCTGTCAATTTAGTAGATGTCGTAGTAGAACTAGGTTCCCCAGTAGTACCCTTTGGCCCTTTTCTTTTGAGGTTCCCTTAATAAAACCAAAGAGTAGGAAAAAAGGGTACCCTCATTAGTAAGGGGCTACTGGGGAACCTAGAGAACTAGAAATACTAGTAGTTGTACTAGCTGCTATACTTGTAGCACTCGTAGCGGTAGTCGTCGTAAGATACAAGAGTACACACTCGGATGCAAGAATGTGCAATATCTATAGGCAATGAGATTCCATTGAAGTCTTCACGTTTTCTAGGGTGAGAGTATGCTATGTTCTTTACAGTGCCTAGGTGCTGTTATGAGTGTTGGTGCGCGTTTGTTTGTTTCTTTCTTTCATCGGTATGTCTGAAGATGTGGTTCTTGCTGATCTTCTGCAGGGAGTAGAGTGCACCACAGAGGCCGGAATGTTTACCAACATTATTCCTCGGGTTCCTTATTATGAGCAAACCATACTGTTGATGATAGAAATCCTGCACTACCTGAAGGACCCTAAACTCCTAAACTATGGGAACTATCGTATATTCCTTATTATGGGTAAGGCAGGATTTTGTATCACCAACCGTAGTTTGCCAAAACCCTGTACTAACCATTGTGAAGCCATGTTCCACCCAGAGAGCCCAAGACCCCTTAATTAAGGAATATACCTTAAATCATAATATCAAGGCCCCTATAGTTTAAGGTATATTCCTTAACTAAGGGGGTTTTGGGCTCTGTGGGCAAGGCAAATCGACGCTGGAGGAATTCGCCCAAACCGAGTCATCCGCTGGATTCGCCCCTGGCTGCTGCAGGGGCGGCTCTCTGTAGACTCGGCAGGAAGCGCAGCTCAGCAGATACCATAACCCCTAAACCCTAAACCCGTAGACTCAGAGTTGTTTTGGGATGTGGGCTTTAGGCGGTACGGTGCAGCTTTTCGGGTTGTGAGCTTGCGGGTTTGGGGTAGGACCGTTGCAGAGTTACGAAACAGAGCCACCGGAGTTATTTCAAAGCAGAACGACGGCTCAATCGAAGGTTTCAGGAATCTAATTCTAAACCCTAAGCCCCTTGAACTGAAACCCTTTCCAACGTCGTAAAGACTCTGCGACCAGTGCCGGTATTAGGCAGTGTATACATATATATATATAGATAGATATATATATGTGTATATATATATATATAACCCAAAAGTCATATAACACCCTCTACAAAGCTGGATTCGTCGTCGAAGGATTTGTCTTTTCAGCTCAGGCTGAAGTGAATGGCTCCTACCTCCCGGACTTCCATGGCACCTCCTTGAGGCGAAGAAATTGCATTTGTTTTGAGGGGCTCGTGAATATTGAAGCCCCCAGGGTACCCAAGACCCCTTAATTAAGGGGTATACCTTAAATTATAGGGGCCTTAATATTATGATTTAGGGTATATTCCTTAATTAAGGGGTATTGGGTTCTCGGGGTATGACCTGCCGTCTCACCAAGCACATGAATATTAGAGCAAGCATCGGGGGGGGCGGTCCGTCGCAGACGGTTTCTAGCTTGCGGAGTGGGCTTCGTGTTCTGGGAAGCGGAACTCCAACATCGAGAAAGCCGTACGGTTTAGGTTTAGGGCTTAGGGTTCGTGCCGCACACCCTTCTCCGAGACCCAGTTGATGGCCCCACCAAACCCTACACCGTGGTGTTGGAGCGTACAGCTGACGTCGGAGGCCCAGTTTCTTGGGGCATCCTACGCACTTCGGTCGAGATGTGTAGCAGTTTTGGGGCATCACTTGCTTTGCGCGACGGGACGTGACGCACGCACACTCAAGAAGAGTAGGTGCGATTGGATGCGCAATATCCTGCCATGGAGTCTTTGCAGGTGGAAGAAGACCCTGCAAGGGCCTTAAGGGCAGAGCCAAGGACATGGACGCCGATCAAGATTGTTGTGGCCGCGGGTCTCGTACTCGGGAGTCTGGGCTTCGGTCCAGTCTTAATCCATAGCTTTGTCGTTTCGGCCCCTACCACGACCACTACCACCTCTAGCTCTACCTACACCTCTACCATGACCACTACATCTACACGAATCTACACCACCAGAAATCTGCCAGGACTTGCCCTACTCCCCGGTACCTGTACCTGCCATCACAGTCGGCCCTGCCGAAGCGGTTGCAGACTGGGAGAATTGCCCCATGTCTGCGGCAAGATATCAGACAGGCTTAGGACTAGGAGCCGGGATGAGCCCCCCATCTCCGCAGAGGCGTCTTTCCGGCGGCACGTGCCGCAGATACCGAGTGCCACTCGACTATAGCCAGGGCTTGGCCGGTGGCAACATCATTGTGACGGTGAAGCGCTCTGGTCCTGCCACCAAAAGCGACGGCCAGCTCTGGATAATGCAAGGAGGCCCTGGTATGCCTTCGCATCCCATGCTGGGACTGCTTGCAGGTCTTGGAAAGGTCTCCTATGCGCTGGACCACCGCGGCACTGGATGGTCCACCGTGTTGGATTGTCCGAAAGTCCGCAGCAAGCAGCCTGGTAAGCTGCCCTGCGGCAACTCCTGGATGAAGGGCCTAGGCTTCGGCAACGTATCTACCGAAACTGTTGATGCTTGTCTGGCCTCAGGGGACATTGGCGCGCCCAAGCATTTCACTGCTGCGAACGCCGCGCGAGATTTGGCCTCGGTAATCGTGGCAATTCAAGCCGAAACAGGAAGCACCGCCGATGTTGGCATCCATGGCCTTTCCTACGGAACTCTGTGGGCTCGACGCTTCCTAACTGCAGGGCCAGGAGTTTCCTGTAATCGTCTCGCATGTCGGCATTGATGGCGTTTGCGGTGGGGATTATGACTTTGGGCAATTTGCCTTGGCAGCCAACCGTGCCGGGCAGCGTCTCTTGGACGAGTATTGCGACGCAGGTTGTCGGGGCAAGCTAGGCGCACCTGCCACTGGCTCTGTTGCCCTCTGGTTTGGGGAGGCTGTGAAGGAGATTGACAAGGCCTTTTTTCGTCGATGGTTCGGGCGGCGGCTTTTGTGGGAAGTACTTCTGGGAGCGTTGCGCGAAGTCGTCCTCTCTGTCAGGTTGGACCAGGCCTCAGCAAAGGATGCCTTGGGTTCCATAGGCTATCTGCATTTTTCTGGAGGGTTTTCGTTGCAGAAGCAGTTTGTCACGCTGGTCCTCACCTTGCGGCGATGTGTCAGAGACACAAGTGCAACGACCATCCCAAGTGATTTCTGGGCAGTTGTTCACTCAATCGATGACGCAGTTCGGCGTGTGGAGGACTACAGACAGAACAATCCGACCGAGTTTTCCGAGATTCTTCACCTCGTCGTCAGCTTCGGTGACCTGTGGAAGGGACCTTAGTTGTAAACGTCGGGAAAGCAAGCACCAACAAAAGCCCTGCGTCGTGTCGTATGCGGCTTGCTGTAACCAAGGAAGGGACCTCCTGAGCTACATGCATGGGGTTTGGAAGATGCAAGGCATGGCAACTGTAGTTTAGCATCATGGCGAGACTTCTTCGACGAGCATGTCTTTTGGGCGCCGGACTTCGTGACATTGATGAGCCGATATCAGGATGTGTTCAATAAGTACGGCTATCGCGAGAACTCTGCGCTTGTGCACAGCAACGGTCATCCTTGGAGTAACGTGACGGTTCTCGTGACCAATGGCGACTTGGATGGGCAGACTCCCTTGCGATCTGCCCGTGCCACCTTCGAAGCTTTGCCAACTTGCAAAGCCAAAGTGGAGCTCCCAACCGGTGGGCACTGTGTCTCCGGCAGTTCGTGTCTCGGGCGTGTGGTTGCCGCTTTCTATCGCAGTCCGGTGGCCTGCTCCTCAGGTTCGGTGGCTCCGGCAACTTCCAGTGCTCTTGGGAAGGCTTTGGAAGCTTTCGATTCGGGTTCTTGCAAGGCCCGCAAGATACTAGCAGGCTGGTGGACGGGATTACTGCCTGTACGCGGGTGTGGGCGGAATTTTACAGGCTCCGGTTGCGATACGACCCAAAGATTTTGCAGCGGGTGTTTCTCAACATGTGTGAGACTGTTGGAGAAGGCAAGCGTGCCGAACGCAAGATGCGTTTGTGCGGCAGAGGCCGCCCGCTGTGGAGCCAGAGGCAACTGCACAGAAGGAGGCTTTGAATTCTGCTCACAGGAAGCGTCGCAGGCCGGCTGTGACCACAGGTTAGCAAGACCTGGTTGTAGCATAGTCCTTTTGCCCAGCCCAGATGGTTCCAGCTGCCTTCTGAGCAGCCAGGTATCTTCTGCCACCAGACCTGTGCTCGGCAGGCAATGGGACATTGCAGCCAGGCATCAGCTATGGCTATGGCGGCAGCAGAAAGGATTTACTGGCGCTCTCGATGCAAGGTCTGTATTCATCACTTCCCCTGGAGCCAAACTCCCAAACCGAAACCTTAACCCTAAGTCCTAAACCCAAAGCCCAAAGCCTAAGCCCTAAGCCCAATCGCCAGGCCCAAAGCCTCCCGCCAGGTATTCCAAGGTCGAGCCCGGCAGGCAAGTCGTTGAGCTCCGACACATGAACGAGCTTGGTCCCCAGGGTGTCGGTTTAGGGTATAAATCCTAATCCCCAAAACCCTAAACCTTAAACCCTAATCCTAAACCCTGAACCCTAAACTCAAAACCCTGAACCCTAGACCCTATAGCGTTTTGGGTTTTGGGGGTCCCCGCATTCTCCTCTTCCTGGGTAAAAGTAGGGGCCCTTAAAGGGGACCCTTTTTTAACCCGACTTATGGCGCTCTTAGCAAGGGGACCTTATTGAGAGGGTCTATATCCCCAAGGGTCCCCCTAATCCTACGCCCTAAAACCCTAAAGCCCGAAAGCCCGAAAACCCTGAACCCCTAAACCCCAAAGCCCGAAAACCCTGAACCCCTAAACCCTAAACCCCTAAACCCCTAAACCCTAAAGGGTCCCCCCCCTACTCCTAAGTCCCACCTCTTAAGGGCTTCTGCCTCGACTCTCTAGGGCTCCGGGTTTAGGCATAGTAGGAGGTTTAATAGAGGTTTGGGATTTTGCTTTAGGTCTCCGGGACTCTAGTTTTTTTTTTTTTATCTTGAAGGCTAGGGGCTTTGGATTTAGGGTTCAAGGTTTGGGGTTTAGGGCTTGGGGTTTAGGGTTTAAGGTCTAGGGTTTAGGATTTAGGGTCGAGTTAGGATTTAAAGGGTTTAAGCTTTGGAATGTAGGGTTTAGAGCCTAGCGTTGAGGAGGCTTCTTTTTTCAGAGTCCCTTTGAGGGCCTCTTGAAGGCCCCTTTTGGGTCCCTCTGAAAGGATTCTTCTCCGGTGCCTTTGAAATTCTGAGCGGAGCTGCCTTGCAAAGCTCTGGAATCAAGGAAATTCCTTATTTTTTGTGAGTAGTGTGTGAGCTTGAGTGTGTGCGCGACAGTGTGAGCACCAACCCGACGTGAAGCGTCAGAGAAAGTCTTAGCAAAAGTGTGCGCGGGAGTGTGTCACTCCTGCTCACAGTCCCGCTCGCACTCCGCTCACACTCCCGCTCAGACTTGTTTAATACAGCAAAACAAGTGTGAGTGCGCCCACCCCCCCCTCCCCCAAACCCAGCGCCGCCCCCAGCCCCACCCCCCTGCCTGCTCCTCTCGCGCTCCCCCTCTCACACTCAACCTCACACTTCCGCTCACACCCTCGCTCACACAAATCTCACAGAAATAATTCTTTCCGACTATCCCAACGATTCCAGGGACCTCCACTCAGAACTTTAAAAGGGTCCCTGTCAGGGTCGCTCTTAGGGCTCTCTTATGCTATCGCCCTGGAAGGGAACCCTCAGTCAGTGAAAAGATCCTCTTTTGAAAGAGGCCCGTTTCAAGGTCCCTTTAAAGGAAACCCCATACTAGAACCCTATTAGAGTACCCTATTGTAGAACCCTATTCTAGTACCCTATTCTGGTACCCTATTTTAGAACCCCATTCTAGAAATTTATTCTACAAACCCATTCTAGTACCCTATTATAGAACCGTGTTCTAGTACCCCATGGGAACCCCACTATCGAACCCCATTAGAGTACCCAGATACAAAAAAGTTCCTTTTCTGTACGGGTGCCTTCCACGGTGCAGTTGAGGACTGATCGTCGAAGGCTCGCGAGGGGTCGAACGCTTCTGTTCCTGTTCGAAGCTTAGGGTATTTTAGGGTACAGCAGGAGCGCTGTATGAGAAAATACTTTCTGGGACGCGGGTGGTCTGGTTTTCTTATTTTGAAAGCGGCCGGCTTTGTGGGAAAATTTAATCTAGGATGGGTCAGAGTAGTCTGGTTTTCTTAAGGCCGTTTTCTTATATAGCTATGTCCAGGGCCCAAGAACAAACGACGACTTTCCCCAATCTCAAACCAAGATCCCTTAATGAAGGCATGAATCTTCAAACATCGTATTGAATGCAGCTATCCCATGCTACAGTAGCTCAAACAGCTTTCCTCCAAACGAGGCAGGTTCGGGTAGGACGGGCCCCTGGGCTGTCGGATCTTATATTGCTTCGTTCCACAACGCACCTAAATAAGAAAACGAGACTCCGGCATTTTCTTATTTTTCTTTGTTCCAGAACGCACCTGAATGAGAAAACGAGACTCTGGCAATTTCTTATTTTGTGTTGTTTTGGAACCCATCTAAAGAAAACGGATCAGCCCGGCGATCCCAGAAAGCCCTTGCACAGCACAGGCCATGCGTACGCACACTTGTATTATACAGAGCGAAATAAGAAAATGAGACTCTTGGACGAGGGTACCCTGGTTTTCTTATTTTAAGAGCGCTGGGTATTTCAAGGAGAACCCCCTCAACCCCCAAATCCAGAGTCTCATTTTCTTAATCCAATGTTTTCTTGAAAAAGTGCTGTCGCTGTAGTCAGGATTTAGGGTAGTCATAGTTCAGGCTGGTTAGGGTTTAGGGTATTTAGGGTTTAGGGTAGTTTAAGGTGTAAGGTATTCAGGATGTAGGGTAGTTCGGGGTTTAGGGTACTCAAGGTTTAGGGTAAGTTTGGGGTTTGAGCAGGGTTTATATAGGGTATTCAAGGATTTGGGGGTATTCAGGCTTTAGGTTATTTAGGGTTTAGGGCATGCAGAGTTTAGGATAGTTTAGGGTTTAGGGTATGCAATGTTTGGGATAGTTTAGGGTTTAGGGTATTCGTGGTTTGGGGTAGCTAACAGCTTAGGGCGTTCGTTTAGGGTCAGGCCTACCCCGAAATTCGAGAACGTCGAATGATAGACGAGTGGCATGCTCGTTGAGGGATGCGCACTGAGCCGATCTGATTCACTGCGACATTCGTATTACGAATACATACTGTATACGAACCTCATCCCGCGAGAGCAGCCTACCCTAAGGTTCTTATGTTCCATTACCTCTGGTTTTTGCCGGCTGAGTAGTCAGGGTGGGCTACGGTTCTTAATCACATTCTTGTCTAGACGCAGCGTGCAGCTTGAGTTAAAATGGCCGCGGTATCTACTCTTACCTACCCTGCCCCCTCCCCCCCCCCCCCGCAAAAACGAATTAGTGTCTGACACGAACTCGTTTTTGCCTTTGCCCGGGGTAGGCAAAGGCAAAAACCAAATTAGTTCCAGACACTAACTCCAGAATGGAAAATGCCGGGTTGTGCTGGGCAGGGGCAGTGCAGGCAAGAGTGGGGTTGGGGGCAGGGTGGGCAATGGCAAAAACGAACTAGTGCCAGACACCATTCCCAAAATGCATGGCTGGGCAGGGCAGCGGCAGCGCAGGCAGGGGTGGGCAGGGGGTGCGGTTGGGGGCAGGGGTGGGCAGGCAAAAGCACATTAGTGTCAGACGCTACTTCCAAAATGGAAAATGCTGGTTTATGCATTGCTGGGCAGGGCGGCGTGGGTGAAGGTGACGGGAAAAACCGAGGTCAGCTGCAGCAGCTGCCTCATAACCAGACATGCACTGATTCAATCCCCGCTTGGGGCAAAAAACGAAATGGTGTCAGACACTAATCGTTTTTGCCCCGGAGGCTGCAGGCAGGGGTGGCAAAGGCAAGAACGAATGAGCGTCAGACACTAATTCGTTTTTGCCCCGGGCAGTGGCAGGCAGGGGTGGGTGGTGGGTTGGGGGCAGGGGTGCAAAGGCAAAACGAAATAGTGTCAGACACTAATTGTTTTTTTGCCACGCGGTAGCGGTAGCGGCAGGCAGGGGTACAGGCATTGGCCAATGAGAGCTGCTCATCCTCATACATGCATTGGCCACCAACTGCCAGAATGAGAACCCTATCCCCTCCAAGGTTCTGCTTTCCCGTGTTATGTAGACTATAACCATACTATAACCTATCACTATGTAGACTATAACTATAGTATAACCTATCGCTTTGACTCTGTCGACTATAACCATAGTATAACCTATCCCCTTAACTATGTAGACTATGACCATAGTAGAAGCTACCCCATTAACCATGCAGACTATAACCATAGTATAGCCTATCCCCTAAACAATAAGGCTATAACCATAGTATAGCCTGTCCCCATTAGCTATGTAGGCTATAACCATAGTATAACATATCCCTAAACCCTAAACCCTAAACCCCTAAACCCCTAAACCCTAAACCTCTAAACCCCAACCCTAAACCCCATAGTATAACCTATCCCCTGCAACCCAAGGGAATGGGCCCTCGTCTCGGTCGGTGAGG